TTTTCGCTACACAGTTCTAACCATGTTTCAAAAATGGAAGCTATATATATATATATATATATATATAATATATATATATATATATATAATGTTTTTATTTATTCAACCGACAGATTTTTATAATTAGAAACGTTATTTTTAGTAGATACTATCTCATTTCGCTCCATGTATTTATTAAACAGTATATTTATTTTCGTCTACCGGCCTGAATATTCGAGTAATCATCTTAAAGGAAAATACCCCCGACAGTGAAATGTTTTCTTTAATATATTTTCTTATAAAATGGACATTGAGGTCAAGCAACGATAGTCTGTTTCATGTTTGATAGTTACATACGTTTTCTCTCTGATATTGATCACATTTACCCATACCTTAAAAACTATATTTTCTCTCTCATATATATATATATATATATATATATATATATATATATATAGTGTCCCCAGGCCAATAATTCTGGTAATTCTTGTTGAAATAACCTCAGATTTTCACAGAATGTATAGAAACAGGTCAAGATTTTATATTTAATGTTTTATTTTTGTCATCTCCATGAGAATCTGCCAGAGAAATTGATCGGGAGTGCTGGAGATGAAGACAGTTTTCAGATGAAATGGCCACCCTGGTCACCGGACCTGTCCACATGTGATTTCTTTCTAAGGGGATTCGTGAAGGGAGTGGTCTATGTACCCCTCTTCCTGCTAGCATTGATGAACTCAAGCAGAAAATCACTTCCGCACTGGATAATGTTACCAAAGACATGCTACAGGGTGTTTAGCAAGAGCTTAACTACCGACTTGACATGTGCCGTGTCACAAGCAGTGCACATATTGAACCGTTATGAAATCGGTCCCATAATAAACGTAGGATGTTCAACACCTAAACTGTTGAATTTCACTGTGCTGGACTAAGTAGTTTTCGAGATAATTGCTTTTAAAATATTGTCAAATTTTTGGGGGCTCCCTGTATATATAGCAATAATATTGTATTTCGTCTCAAAGCGATTGGCCAATCCATTTCTTATCAAAAACATCAAGACCAAAATGACGGTTCTAGCTTTCAAAATGATGTGAATATATATATATATATATATATATATATATATATATGAGAGAGAGAGAGAGAGTTCATTGCAAACGAAAGCGAAAAGAATTTTGTCTTATCATTCCCGTAATTGTGACGTATAAAACCTCCTGCTTAGTGTCCATGTCTTTGACCAACCTCTCTCTCCAGCCTTTCCGGATCTAATTCCAGTTCCTGTATTTACGTAGCATTTCGTCTTTGGCAATATTTGACAACGTAACATGAATTGTAAGTCTCTGTATTTGTATACTTATAAAATCTTTCATAGCAGGCATTTTCGATATGTGCTGCAACCCTGCATTGTGTACTTGGAGGCGTCAAGTGCAGGTCACGAGATTGGAAGGGAAGCAATAAAGAAATAAATGGAGATTTTGAAATCATAAAAAAACAGACAGTTTCTATGAATGTTGGAATTAATCCATAGAATATTCATAGCTTTCATTTGTTAGATAAACGTATCTGCCTGGTTTTCTCTCTTTCATGTATTCATCTATGTCTTCGTAGATTGCATTTGGTCCGGACATAGAAATGAACATCGTGTCGATGGAAATATAAACCCAAGCATCTATTTTTCATTTACTCTTTTCACCATAGCTATTTCTGTCTCTCTCTTTGTAACTTTCTCTTTCTTTGTATCTCATTCTATCCCATATATATATATATATATATATATATATATATATATATATATATATATATATATATAGGTGTGTGTGTAATTACTATGAAAGGATGACCCTAGTTTTAATTCAAGTTTTACACTAATGGGATCATCAGACGACTTGAAGCGTTCAAGACGTCCGAAAATCGGGTGAGCGTGAAACTCAGTTTACGACTGGAACCATCCTTTCATTGGAATTAACGTTGTTAAGCGTTTTTTTTGCCCAGTCTAGTCAAACTAGGCTTCGAGCACTTTACTGTGTAGCCTTTAGACCTTTTTTCAGTATTGTATTTGTTCGAGACTTTATCTGAATAGGCTTTGGCAAGTTATCCGTTGGTTCCATCAACGGTTTTGCATATATATATATATATAAGTAATGAAAAATTTGGTAATCCGTAGGATCAAATCCAGAGAGCTCAATATCAGATCAGAGCAATTATTAATTCAATTTAAATAGAAAACAGATAACCATTGTCCATTGGTTATAATTTATTTCCCCAGGTATATGGTTTTTACCTGGTTCATTAGTCCACACTTGCAAGGGTGAAAAAATGATTTAAATTTACATATAGTTCTTACACACTTTTGGGTGCGGTCTGATGAACCAGGTAAAAATCATATACCTGTGGAAATACATTATAAGAAATGGACTCTTAAAGTTGTCTTTTTACTATTTAAATTGAATTAATACACACACACACATATATATATATATATATATATATATATATATATATATATATATATATATATATATGTGTGTGTGTGTGTGTGTGTGTGTGTGTGTGTGTAGCTCTACTCGTATTCGAGAATACACGTCTACCAGGGCGGGTAGCCTATTCCTATTGCATACGCTCACTCATTTGTGTTTACTCAACACCCACAGAGTCCACCTGTGGTTTATACTGTAACTATGCTGAGCAGACCTTAGTTACAGTTTCTGGGAGAGAGCGTGTTACCTAGCGTGAATTTGAACAAGGCCAGCATGCTCAAGCCCTCGGTCACGATGACTTTTGGCTTCGTGCTAGCACAGCTATCAACGGCCCCAAGAGTTCCGTCTACCCAATTTCGTTCACAAGGCTTGGGTCAACCTGTGGTATTGGTTTGCAAAGGTGCCGCACGATCCCGTCCGATAACATCAGGAAATCTCATTTCTGACAAATCGAACGTTCTAACCACTTGCCCATATATATATATATATATATATATATATATATATATATATATATTGTAAAATGTTCTGAGACTGAAGTAACAATCCCAAGTAGAAAACAAGCTCAAAAAGAAACCGGAAAAATGTTCTGAGACTGAATATAACACAAGATATTTATATATATATATATATATATATGTATATCTCTATCACTCTGAATTTTTCTCTCTTTGCATATCTTTCTCTTTATTTGTTTTCCACTCTTTGTCTCCATCCCTTCTCGCAATATATTATTCTTTCTGAGTCTGGCCTTTCGTTTGAATCATTTTTTCCCTCTTTCTCTCTTTGTATGTTTTTTTTTCGCAATCATTGTAACGTTCTTGCTTTCTCTCTTTATCGCCACTCTAACTTTCTCTCCTTGCCTTTTTTGTCCTACATACATATATACATATAGGACTGTTAAAAATCTGGAAAACCTGATGACTACATATCAAGCTTCTTCGGTTCTTATAAATTTATCTCTACCTGAATCAATACAGTGAATGGAATGATAACAGATTTTCTTTTCGCAAGTGCAGTTGGCCTTCAAATAAAAAACAAAATTAGGGTTGATTGATGAATTTTCTTACATATCAATCCTTTTTAGGATATTCTAATTCGAAATCTTTAAAAAATATATTAAGTGTATTGGCGAACATTAGACGGGTTTATATTTAAGTCTATAGGCAACCATCGATAAACACTTTGACGTGGTCTAATGGTCAGCATGTTTGTCTAGCGAGATCACTTACGACTGAGTAGCGAGTTCGAACCTTGCTAGGTACATCTAAGCTATCCTTAGAAAATCACTTTTCTTTATACTCCCTAGGCTTTGGTAGTTCCAAAATAATATTAAGCTCAAGCCCTAGGTGGGCACCCCCATGTAGTACCTCCTCTCCTTCTGGCGGGGGCAAGATTTTATTGCCCGATACCCGAGGCGTCTCCAAAAGGGGAAGGTTCAGGTGGGGATATCTGTGTAATTTTTCCACGGTATTGCCGTTAAACTCACACTTTGCGTTGCATTCAATAGCAAGGTGAGGGCACCGAAAAATATATCTAGGCAAACATTGATCATCCATCCCAGTGTATGGAAGTATCCGCCCCGTGGGTACTTTTTGGGCGGGATATCTTTGCTCCTTTCTTGGGGTGAAGTTTCCTTATCCTAGACTCCACAAGCAGGACACGTTTTAAGCCCATCTCTTATTATATAAAAGACTAACACAATTTGCTCATTCTACCTTTATGAAAATAAAAACGTATGCTTGTAAAATATGCAAGACACCTACTTATAATTTTTCAAAACTAAATCAAATGCCATTGAACGCAGAAACTTATATATATATATATATATATATATAACGACACTTTAAAAAATATGATGATATAATTCACTATATAAAATACAATTTTTCCCCTCCACATCCGACGTAGTTTCATGCAAGTCGAACGAAAGCTGGGGACAGCACAACATGAATAAGGGCCAAGTTATCCGCACACAACAGGCACTTTTGCGAAAGTATATTTGTACATTAGAAAAAAAAAAGATAATGAAACAATAGACACAAAATGTTTATTTTTTAACAATACATTTTCAAAAGAACAATTTGCGGTCTAAATATACCTAATATATATATATATATATATATATATATATATATATATGTATGTGTGTGTGTGTGTATGTATGTATGTATGTGAAGCAATAAGAATATGATTTTTCAAATCCAGGTAAATCTCTGGCAGTGGTTAAGCCTACATATTATTTTATGAAAAACAGCACTCAGTTCCGAGGAAAGGCAAAAAAAAAAAAAAAATGAATTTAAAAGAGATAAGAAAAAGACAGAGACTTTGAAATTGAACGTAAATATACGTAAACAAAGAGATGGAGAAATAAAAGACATGAACAAATTGAAAAAAAATGTTTTGAAAAAGAAAAATGAAGGATTAAATGCGTTCGTGTATTAAAACTGCGTTCGTGGCCTGAACTGGTAGATTCTGCATTTTGACGTCAATCGAGAAATTCTAGAAGGGATGAATTCAAAATGGATTCCCTGCAAAAGACAGTCTTTATCCGAATGAAGAGTAGGCGAGTTCAGAATAGAGGAAGAAATGAAAGCTGAAGAGTATGTCTTCATAATGATAGAAAAAGAAAAAAAAAAAGACAACAAAATAGAAGTTTGAGAAAGTGTAGAAATAAGGAGAGAGTGGAAAGAAACGAAAGTGGAAACAGAGAAAAGAAAGAAAGAAAGAAAGAGTGGAAAGAAAGAAAGAAAAAGAGAAAAGAAAGAAAGAATGGAAAGAAAGAAAGAGAAAAGAAAGAAAGAGTGGAAAGAAAGAAAGAAAAAGAGAAAAGAAAGAAAGAGTGGAAAGAAAGAAAGAAAAAGAGAAAAGAAAGAAAGAGTGGAAAGAAAGAAAGAAAAAGAGAAAAGAAAGAAAGAGTGGAAAGAAAGAAAGATGGAGAGAAAAATGAAAAATGATCATTGGGAAAAGGCGAGAGAAACGGAATGGAAGGAGAATAAAAGAGAGAAAACTGAACAAAGCGAACGAAAGGGGAGAGAAAACTGAACAAAGCGAACGAAAGGGGAGAGAAAACTGAACAAAGCGAACGAAAGGGGAGAGAAAACTGAACAAAGCGAACGAAAGGGGAGAGAAAACTGAACAAAGCGAACGAAAGGGGAGAGAAACTGAACAAAGGAACGAAAAAGGGAGAGAAAAAACTGAACAAAGCGAACGAAAGGGAGAGAAAACTGAACAAAGGAACGAAAGGGAGAAAAACTGAACAAAGGAACGAAAGGGGAGAGAAAACTGAACAAAGCGAACGAAAGGGGGGAGAAAACTGAACAAAGCGAACGAAAAAGGGGGAGAAAACTGAACGAAGGGAGGCGAAAGGGAGAGAAAACTGAACAAAGCGAACGAAAGGGGGGAGAAAACTGAACAAAGCGAACGAAAGGGGAGAGAAAACTGAACGAAGGGAGGCGAAAGAGGAAAGAAAACGGAACGAAGGGGGAGAAGAGAGAGAAAACGGAACGAAGGGGGAGAAGAGAGAGAAAACGGAACGAAGGTGGGTCGAAAGAGAGAGAAAACGGAACGTTGGTGTGGGGACGTAGATAGAGAAAGGAGCGGTCCGGGAAAAGGAAAGAGAACGGAACGAAATGGGGGAAGGAGTGAGAGCGAAACAAGGGGTGATAGTAAATAGATATTAGTTTTATCAAGTCCAAAGCAAAGATAATTGTTGAACTGTATTCAGAATGAAAATAGGTGTCTATCTCTTCTCCATTTTATACTATTTACATTGTTCGAAGTGTTGTCTTTTATTGTCATATTTACAATGTTTCGGCCGTTGTAAGCTCCAGCCTTCAGGTGTTATACGTTAGAATCTCGAACTGAACCCCTTTCCTCGGGGTAGATTGTTCTAGTTCCACGTGACATGCCTTTCCTGGATATCTCAGTTTTTAGTTAATTCCCTTTAGTAAGACAACTCTCTAAGTTTTTTTTTCACCTCTGCTTTGGCCAGGTATTGAACGCAAAACTCTTTAGGTTGAGTCAGTTTTGGATTACTTCAAACAATGGTTTTATTCACAGTCTGACCAATGTAAAAAGTGTAAATAGTTACAATACCTTATCTGAGAAATATAGACAGATATCTCTTTTCTGTTATATAGATTTATCTTTAATAGAAATAATTACTCTTTGTAACCGTTCTGTGTAAGACTATAAATCGTCTTATATTATTAATGTCCATCCAAGAATATTTATTAGACTTACCAAGTCCAAAGCAAAGATAGGTTTCTCTATCTACACTCGGAATGAGACGCGTATAAACTGTTAGAGAGATCGTGATGCTAGCCAGTGAAGAAAACATATTTGTTAGGCTAAAATCACCTTCATAAAAGAACAATTAAGGAGCGAACATACGTTCATTGTGTTTGGAAAGCAGTACGCCACGTGAAACACGACATATTTCTCAACCTCAGGTTGACTGATAATACTTCAATTGCAAAAGTAAGGAAACATGTGACTGACCTTCATTAATATTTGCGTAGGCAAATTAATATATTGCCTTTGAAAAGAAAAAAAGCAAATGATGAAAAAGAGTTTAACGGTTTGAATGACGTAGAAAGAGGCTGGAGAAAGGAATAAAGTAACGCGGAGATCATTGCATATTTTATGCATGGCTTTTCCCGGAAGATTGAAAGGCAACAACGCAAGCTCGGGTTACTAGGAAATAGGTTTACAGCGCACCGCTGTTATTGTCCTGCCTGATTGGTTTTTAGCTGATGAGGCTTGTCAAGTATAAATTTACTGAAACAAGCGAGTCTTTCCAACCAGACCGGGGGAAGTTCTTCAGTTTAGAATTAAACACTTACTCCATTGGTAAGTAATTCCTAATTGGTCTTTGTTTATGTCTTACAATTTACAAAAGGAGAGAGTCGTATTAGAAGCAACCCAGTTACATTCTTACTATTACCGTGGGGACGTTGTCATAATATTAGTATAGTAGAGTTTTCAAATACCCCACTTAAAAATAACTCGGTATATGGATCAGTTCCAAAAAAAAAATAATATAAGGGATACGGAAATGAAACTTAAAATAGGCTGTGCTCGTCGTAGTTTCACCTAATACCTTAATTTGCTGCAAAACAAAAAGATTAATCTAAAAACTAGAGTCATGCTCATTAATAATCTTGCCAGACGAAGATTTTCATATGGATCCCATGACTAGCGCCAAACACGCTCAGAAATAACTAAACTGTATCCAACGTTTCGGTAGTAGTGGATTCCGGCCTTAGTCAGGTACTTTTTGATATCGTTAATATTCAGGGGATTTTAAAATGAATACTTTATTGAATATACGCGAGGAGACTTCCCGTTCCGGGTTACGACCACATCACGTTGAATCACCGTTTTCCGTACAATTACAGTAGTTAAGCAACGTCGAACCTGGTCAGTACTGAGGTGGGTGACCGCTTCGGTATGCTGGTGATCTAATGGATAATGCTTCTGAATCGGAAAGCCGAGTTCAAGTTCCAGTTTGGTTCGATACACGGAAATATCCATGGGAAATTCATGAATCTACCCCTTCTTGTATCACTAAATCATTATTATCTACCCCCACCTGAAAAACCTAAAAATAATTGCTGGCTTAAAATAACCTGCGAAGGGTTGATAAACCGTAGAAAACAAAATCAATCAATCATGTTCTCGTTCAGTATTGGCCATGTCTCGGGATATCTCGTCTAGTTGTTATTTAGTATTTCTCAGTGGAATAAAGCAGAACGAAACGTTATAACCAGAGACATACGCAACAAAATGATACTAACCGACCTCCCCCCCATACACACACTAATGGGTTCAGTTCGAAATTCTCTGAAGGTCATCCAGAGCGGCAATCATTTGATGAACGTCGGAGGGTACAACAGCCGAAACGTTGTGGTAACAACAACAAAGATTAGGACAACAGTCCGAATGTAAATAGTGTAAGTAATGTTAACTCGTCAACCCGGAAATTCAGACGGAACGGTATTGACTGTGGATGATCGAAAACTGACCGGACTGCGACAAGCGAGTGGGGGCGGTTTCTTTGGGTCACTGCCCTGTCTCAGAATGTAGTGTCGGATACACACCTGAACGGACAACCGCTCATCAGTAACGTGTATTTCTGACTTAAGGATTAGATAAAATGGATAAGTCGGTGTTAGTCTGGCGACGGTGGAGGAATTAGTGCGATTCAAATAAACGTATTTGGCTAACACTTCATGTGCGCAGATTAGCACATTACAGAACAATAATTATCAGTGTTAATCCGGTTCAGCTTATTACATCTGGACCATATCTTGGCACACACGCTAAGGAAAATAATGACCGCGTACACTAGCCACAAGAAATTCACTATTTTAAATAAGTAGCGAATTCCTTTGTCTTTTGGGATTTGGGATCAATGACCAATTTTTGAAAATATTTTACAAGTTCTGATGCCCATTTAAACATTAATATTTTTAATGAATAAATAATCGGTCTTATACATGGGGCTGCAAAAGTAGGTATACATTATGAATTATTATTGATGCTGTTATTGATATATTTGTATAATCAATACAAAACATTTTGTGCGCACGTTTTGTTACTGCTTACCCAATTTACATTCCCTGTGTATATTTGATAATTAATATTTATTATATATATTATTTGTTATTATTTATTGATTACTTTATACTTATTTACTCATTATATTATTGATTTTTTATTAATTTTTAATACATTTAATCTTCAATTCCATTATAATTTTAATTTATTGTGATATAATTATAATTTTTAAAAATATACTTAACTTGAATTTATATTCATTTACTCATATTTTTTATTTATTTTACTACTTATTATTGTTACTATTTGTGATCTCTTTTTAAGTTGGTATTCATCCACTGCCTTTTTAGAAAAAAGGAAAGAGTGTGATTTGGCAAGGTTATTTCATTACGAATATTTACGACATTGTATTTGAAAACATTTATATTTTTGGTACCAATAACCGAGTTTATTTATTATGTTTTATTTATTTTTTTTTTTTTACAGAAGAGATCGTATTTTCGAATTTGTAGGAGAGGTGTTTCGAAACCTAGCGTTTATCTTGTAATATTTCTTTTTACGATTTATTCTACAGAATCGGTTATTTTATATTATTGAGCGTTCGAAGAGTTCTTTTTATCATCAAGGACGACGACAACAACAATAATAATAATAATAATAATAACAAGAAGAAGACCGCATCCCTGGGACCACCAAAATAGATTTTGTTTTAAAAAATAAAAGAAGAAAACAAAAACTGAAACAAACAAACAAGAAATGTTTCCTCGTCGATGTGGCTGTTCCTGGCGACCATAATAACAACGTCAAAGGAATTGAAAATGTTAAAAGTATACTGACCGCCGAACTGAAGTTATCATAATATTGGGCATTCAGTCAACTTTTGTCTTGATTATCATTGGGGTTTATACCACTGAACTTAGAGACCCACATTAAGAAAATAAAGCCTAGTATTGCATCGCTTCAAAAGACTGCGTTACTTGGCTCCGCAAATATTCTGTGAAAGGTGCCATCTGTTGGGGGTCACACGACTTGATGAAGACCACCCATAAGATCTCCAGTTAAAACGAAGAACAGTGAGCAAGATAGTAATAATAACCTCTTCACTGTCTATAGCCCGTACGAAACAAGCTTGTGTAGATAAACCCCGAACTAATCAATGCTTACGTAGTGCAGAGTTAAAAATTGAAATCGAAGGTTTTATTCTTGTTGAAATTACCAAGCACACATACTGAAAAAGTGTGTTAACCCGAAATGCAGATTCTGTGATAAATATGCAGAAACAATTGATCAACTTGTATCAGGTTTCACGGTGTTAGCACCCACTGAATATAAAACTCGGTATGATAGAGTGGGCCAATATCTGCATTAGAAAAAAAAATGCAACTATTATGGGAAGGAAACTGCGAGGAACTGGTATGAATATCACCCAGGCCTGGTTACAAATATAAAACCTGTAAGTATTTTATGTGACTTTACAATGCACACAGACAGAACAATCAACACAGAATGTACTTTCTTATTGACATAGCAATTACTGAAGATTGTAATATATTTTGAAGATCTTAAAAAACTATCAAAATACAAGGATACTGAAGCGTAAATCTAAAACAAATGTGGCACGTGAGGGCATCAATAATCCCAGTTGTAGTTAGAGCCCTCAGATTGATTGGAGAAGGTTACGATAGACTAATTGAAGGGATTTCTGATCATCATCATACTCTTGACTTTTGTAATCGTAGGCCAGATCCGAATGCAGAAGCCACACTAACTCTTTTCCACAACTGTCTATTAACGGCAGCCATCAGCAGGTCTGGTACAGTCATACCTGTCCATTGTTTGACATTGTCCAACCAGTTTTTGCGTTGACGTCCTCTCCTATGTCCATCTTCAACGGTACCTTACATGATGGTCTTGTACAGGCTGTCATACCTTGTAATATATGTTAAACCACGGCATTTTTCTCCGTTTGACAGTGGTGAGAAGAGGTTCCTGGTGTCCCACAAAACTTTCAACCCTTTTCCATACAAACTCATTGTTTTTTCCCCCAGCAGCATTTGTTCTCAAACTCATGGATCCTCCTCTCTGCATCTCCTAATAGTGTCCACGTTTCACATCCATATAGGAGAATGGATACTACCAGCGATTTGTACAGT